GCGGGTTTGCTGGGGGCTCTCTTGCTGAATCTTGCATGGTTTGGAACTAACCCTGACATGTGTCCCCCACCCCAGAACCTTTTGGGATGGGAATTAATTCGTTTCTTGCAAGGTACCATGTTGTCATCATGTTGGAGCATAAGGAGATTAAAAAACATATCCTTGTCCTCACAGGATGCAGAACTTTGTGAGCTACTGACACTGGGACAGGCGTACAGCAGAACGAAGAAGCAAGGGGGTCCTGGCTGGGGACAGCCGGAGACCCAGGTGGCTGGAGGGGGTGGGGAGACGTGTGTGGAGTCGCTGTGGGCTCCTGCAGCGCGAATCTGGAGGCACTGAGAGCCTGACACAGCCCAGTTTGGAGGAAAGCATGGGAGGAGATGGGCCTGAGGGTCCCCACACAGCCCAGGAGGCAGATTCATGTGGCGATCGTTCAGGAAGCTGCTCTCAAGGTACTGGCGCTGACTTCACTCTCCCTTTGAGCCATCAAATGTTAGCTTAGAATGTCGACTCATGTTTTTCAATACATGGTCTGTCCTTGAGGTCACCTACTTGATGGCTGCAATGAACTAGGTGGTCACCGGAGGGACCCAAACCCTTAATGGTTTTCTTACTGGGCTGGGCTGAGGCGAGTAGGTGGCACCGTAAGCAGGGCCCAGTGGGGGCTTTAACCCTGTGTGAGCCCAATGAAAAAACCACCTTTGCTTTCCTCTCACTAGTAAGGCGGATCTTTTCAGAGGAACCACACTGATTGAAGCCAAAGGCCCAACATTAGACAGACGTCTGTGGCTGCAAACTGCTTTTGGTGCCTTTTTGCATCTAGGGTTTCAGCTCTGAGGTGCCCATAATCCCTGGCTGGGGTGGGTGCTTGATATCTCTATCAGAAGTGCCCTCTACCTCCAACTTGAGATTCTACTCTGGGAGGAAGGGAATTATTCCCTCCTCAGGCTCAGCTGAGAAATCAGAAAACTGACTTCAGCTCCCACAGAGAAAGCCCTGGAAACAGCCTGAAGGCATAAACCGCCAAGAACAGCCTGCGGGCACAGCCCGAGGCCTGAAACTTGGCAATGGCTCCTTGAGCACTCCTGCCCCCTCAGCCCTTGGCACCTGCCACTTAATGAATACGAGAGCTACAGGGCTTCACCCATCTGA